GCGCACACACACACACACACACACACACACAATGGCTTATTAGTCATTAAAAAGAATGAAATCTTTCCATTTGCACTACTTGGAGATAGAGAGTATTATGCTAAGGGAAATAAGTCAGAGCAAGACAAATACCTTATAATTTCACTCAAGTGGAATTTATGAAACAAAACAAATGAGCAAAGGGGAAAAAATGGAGAGAGAGACAAACCAAGAAACAGACTCTTAATTATAGAGAACAAACATGTTTACCAGAAGAGAAGGAGGTGGGGATGGGATAAATATATGGTGGGCATAAGGAGGGCGCTTGTGGTGAGCACCGGGTATTGTGTGGAAGTGTCCAGTTATTCTATTGTACACCTGAAACTATTATTACATTGTATGTTAGCTAACTGGAATTCAAATAAAACTTAAATAAAAAAAGAAATGTTCAGTAGGCAACTGCAACTTAGAATAGTAGTTGGGGCTCAACCCACAGAGATTTAAGGGTAGAACTGTTGAGTACAGCCACTGTGCAACTTCCTGGGGCATTTACACTTACCACAATATGAATAGTGGCCCTTTGGTGGGTTCTCAATATTTGGTGGTGATTTAAACCATGAATGGGATAAGATCACTCAGGAAGTAAGTATAAATAGACTCAGGAAAGAAGTGAAAAACAATGCTACAGAAATAGCCCTGGGACCAGCTATTTTCTGGGATATTCTGGCAACACTATATAGGGCTTCATTCTTTAGGATTGTCTCTTCCCTCCAGCTCTTCCCAGACAAGCCTAATTTAGTACTGATATAAGCACATCAAGAGGCTGGGGAAAGTTGGTTTGATCTTCAAGGCAAAGGATGATTCATGTTTTGCATGACATTTGCCCTTCCTTCCACCTTGCCCTTCTACCTATTAGAAATAATCACAGAATATAGTCTTTGGGCCAGTTTCTCTGGGCTCCACTAACCCATAGTCTAACACTCAAAGGATTGTTCTGACACCTGAGAGATTTCTTTGTATCTCGCCTCGGTTCCTGGGCTTGCTAAATCTGCCAGAGAGGTAGCCCAACTTATAAGCATAGATCTAGATGTTCTGAAACATTTGGATGGAATCACTTCCCATTTTTCAAATGGACTCTTTGGCACTGGCCTGGAAGGGTCACACATCCCCTCGCTTTGCCTTTCCAGTTCTGATTTCTAGAGTCTTAGTGAAATGTTTTTCCTCCTTTACCCACAGTTCTCAAGGCAGAGTTCCTGGAGATGAGAGTTGAGGCCTCCGGTATGTAGTCTCCACTCCCGATTACAGAACCTTGTAACACGTAAGCCTTCTTTATGGGATCTGAGCTTTTGAGGACTAAAATATCTTGTGGGTCCAGAGGATAGGAACATATTCCATGTCTCAGTTCATTAACCTATAATTATGTGACCCTTAAACTTACTACCTTCCAATTCTGAGGTTCCCTGTGTTTTTAAGTCTCCTTCCTCTTTCCTTTCTTTCTTCCCCCAACCAAATTACAGTGTAGTTCATTTGGAATCCTAGACTCTGACATTTGTGGCAAGTACATTTCGTTCTCTGAGCCTCAGTTTCCCAATCTGTAAAATTAAAAGTTTGGAGCCCTGTAACTCTGACATTGGTAACCTCTCTTTTGGTATTATAGCAAGTACCATGAGTCCACTTCAGTATCATGTAGAGACTTCACACCTTCAGACCAAATCACTATTTAAGTCTTTTCCCCTGAACCTCTATCCTTAGTCCTGTATATTTGTTTAATGAAAAGTACTTTCACTTCCATTATTTCATTTGATCCATATCAGATGCCAGAATAAAGAGGATAATATATATTTTAACTTAGCAAATAAAGGAACTGAGGTTCAGAAGGGATAAATTAACTTGCTAAGGTCACAGGAGCTACAGAGATCATAGAATTTATTTTTCTCTACGTAGGAGTTATAATTGTTTGGCTATCATATTTCTGGCATGACATGAACCAGTATATATATATAAATGAGATCTGGGTATCTGGAGAAGAGCTTTCCATTTGTTCCCCAGCCTCCCTTTACTTCCTATCACTGCCAGTCCTCAGGGGTCCATGGGTTGATAAGCTTTTCCTTATTATCCCTCATGGAAGTGGAATCCCAAAAAAGAAATTTGGAGTCAGTATAAGGCCATAAAGGCAGTGTCTATGTTGTAGGTGGGTAGTCTCAAAGGTATCTGGCTTCATCTTCTGTAGACTTTTGGGGGATTACAACTGAGGTCAAATGCACAGTTTCCAGCCCTGATTATAGCACCATCTTAGACCTGTTTCATGGGATCTAAGTTGTAAGGGCCTTTTCCTAGCCAGCCTCTGTTGCTCAGAAGATTAGCTACCAATTATGTAATTACCTACCTACCAAGATAGGCCTCACTTCTCAGTGGCTGTTAAGTACTTGGCCAGTCCTAGCTAATTACCTACTCTCTTCTTTCCTTTTCAGGTTTTAAAATCCTTGGCCTCAGGGGACCCTTCACTGTTCTGGAAGGGTCTTCTTCAAACTCTTCTGTGCTGAGTCATTTTGTGCTGAAGAGAGCAGCTCCTTCCTGGCCCTGCACCTTCAGGCTCTAGGATGCTATAAAATAAGGGGCACATGTCTTAGACACAGGTTTATTTCTCTTATGTATTCTGTCTTTGTTCCCTCAGAAGGTCTATGTTGAGCTCCTATATGATTGTGAATGGCTGAACTCCCTCAAGCCACACTGCAGAAACCAAGCTATCTACTGACCTGAGTCGAAGAAAGGAACTTAGTTTTCAACTCTTCTCTGAATTTCCTGTCTCCTCAAAAGACCATCAAACTCTGAAATATTTGGGACTAAAGACTGATCTCAGAGGTCTTACCCTGAAGTAAAAGCTACTTGAGTTGGGGCCATTGCTTGCCTTGGAAGTAGAAGAGTAGGAATGTTTGCCAAACATTGGTGAATCTTAACATGTCTCTTACTGAGGATAATGACCCTGGCACCAGGTTGGAGCTCTGGCACTGCAGTATATTGCCAAGAACCTGTCTGTTCCTGTTGGGCCAGACAGCATGGGTGATCCCAACCACAACTTCATGTGAACTCAGGACGGTGGCCTTTCTGTTTTTGCATAAAACCACTTAGGACAAATCTGCAAAGAATATTTTGCATGTTGAAGCCTAGGTCTGTTTGAATTATTTTCCCTCCTATTTTTTTCCAGACAGCTTAATTTCTAAACAATCAAGAAAGAAACAAAAACTGAAAACAGTTCTTTAAAAAAGGTAGACTGTATCTGTCCTGCAGAAGTTCCATTTTTGGGTCAAATACTGGGAAAAATTGTTAAGATGGATTGAGGTGAGGCAGCTGGCACTGTTGCTTCATGTTTGCCTTCTGCAGATAAGCTTTTATCTCCTCCAAGAAGCAACTCCTAACCCAGTGTCCGTGGATTCAGAAACTCCATGAAGCTTCTGAAATGGTATGCAAAATTCCATGACAATGTATCTTTTCTGGGGAGATGGTCCATAACATTCTACTGAATTTCAGATGGGCCTGTGACCCAATAAGGGTTAAGAACCACAGCACTTGAGATAAAAAACTCTTTACAACCCATAAAGTATTTGATTGGAAGGCCTTCCAAAATTATTTAGTCTAATTGCCTAGTTTACTATTGGAGAAACTGAGGCAGAGCAAGTTATCAGCCATGCCTAAACAAGTACCTAGGTCCCTGGGCTCCTGTACAATTTTCTTTCCGTTATACGACACTTGTTTAACAAGGGGCCTTATGATTGGTGGCTTTAGTGGTCATCAGTTTGAGTGTTGGGCTTTTACCCTTTCTTGAGCCTCCCATATTTGTTATCAAGTGGAAAACTTTCAGACACAAGCTCCTGGTGTTCCATTTGCCATTTCAGTCATTAGAAAGGAACTAAAACACGACCTGTATAGTGACTCAGAAATCTGAATAGACATTTCTGATTCTTGTTTATTGATGGGAAGCTGCTGGAGAAAGTGTCACTGCTTGTGTTCCCATGCTCTCGGGCCATAACCTGTCTTTAGGGTCTGTGTAATTATAATATGGCCAAATGTGAGAAAAAGGGCTTTCCTACTTGAACCCTTCTAGCAATACCTTCACTATGGAACTGAGAGAGAAGCATAGACATGGGTGGAGGGAGGAGAAGGAGAGAAGAAAGGAGAGGGAGATGGAAGAAGGGGAAGAGAGAGAGAATACACACATGCCCAAACCAACTCTGAGATGCCTTTGAAACAATGTTACTGAAAGATGATAGCCACTTTCAAGACTGAACTCAACATGATCCACTGGTGAATTAGTAACATGTAGGCCTTTGTGGAAGTAATCGAGTAGACACTTGATGCTATTCCCAATAAAGACATGCCCAGGTGGCCACATAAAACTCTCTCAGCTCTACCCAGTCTCAAAGGCCAAGTTAATAAGAACCAGGGACAAGAGAGCCAAGTGATCACCATTCTACCTGAGGCTCACCCCCAAAGGAAGTTGCTGTGAGACTCCTGGGCTCACCCAGGAAGTGCTTGTTGAGCCCCGTTCTCAGAGCTGTGGCCTCTCTGCTTGCTCTGCCCCATTAGATAACTAACTAAAGCAAGTAGGTGTATGGATTTTGGCCACAGAAGCAGTGGCCAGTGGGGCTTCAGTACATTTGAAGATGGTAGGGACATGATTTCACTCTTGTTTTCTTGGGGTAGGGGAATACCAAAATCACCACTACAAATACTGAAAGATTATTGAGAACCAGAGAAAGCCACTGCAGTCCCAGTTGAATAGATATCCCAGAAGTGTGACCATGAGATTACTGTGTGTTTTCTGGGACATAGATCAAGAGCCTGGCCTAGAAAGTTGGGACTACCAGGCTGGCTGGAGACCAGGAAGCAGTAGCTGGATAGCTCTGCCCCTGCCCTGGGCTATACCTGAAGAATGCCCAAAAATGAACCTCAGTGCCTCCCCCTTTTATGCTCTAATTTAAAGAGCAAAAGCTTCTGTGGTGAGGCTCACTGTCATGGAATGAAACTGGCTTGGCCCAGGCTTGATGGATGAATAGTCATTCAGAAGAGCCTATGGGAATGGGGTGATAATTGAATAGTGGCAACTATAGGAAATTATCTGCATACCTTGGCCAGCAGGTTAGAGAAACTGGCAATGGATGAACCATAAACCTTGAACTGACTGTGGTAACATTTATTAAGCACCTACTAAGTTCTAAGTGCTTCATATACATAATCTCCTTTGTCCTTACAACAGTGATGCAAGTAGATGCTAGTCCCTCATTTTACAGATAAAAGAATTGTGGCCCAGAAGGCTAAAGTAACTGGCTCAGGGTCTCACAGAAAGTAAATAACAGGACTGTGACTCAAATCCAGGCCTCTCCGACTCTGTACCCCATGATGTTTTCTCTTTACCACACAGAGGCTACATTACTGGAACTGGATGACTGACTTTCTCTGCCTAATAAAATATTAAAAAGCAAGCATTTGAAGGGAAGTAGGGCAGGTCTAGTTTACAGGGGAACAAAAACTGGACTGCAAGAGATTTCTGAGTTGGGCTTTCTCCTAACCTTCCATATACTCATTTGGTAATGTTTTAAAAAAGATCATTCAATTTTACCTTGTGAAATGAATTTATTTTTTAGTTCGTAGTTACTAAGTCTTTGACTTAGCTGTTTTTCAAAGAGAAAAGGGTCCTTGTATATGTCTATGTACTTTACCATGGTTGTAGCATGTTTATTTTCAGTCCAAGAGACTGAAGACATCCATACATACAGTTTGAGAAGGACAAAAGGTATTGGTGCCTCTCTGGTACTTAATGCCTTGGGGTCAAATCCTTACAAGGTTTTCTGTGGTGAGAACAAAAGTTAAGAGATAATTTAGAATAAGAAATATTATTGAAGTTTTTGCTTTAAAAAGGGTGGGGAGGTTGCCCAGCCACAGGATGGGGGTGTGAAACTCAGCACCGACTTCAGTAATAAAACATCATATAGAAATACTCTAGTATTTCTAAAATAATAGTTTTAGGATACTTCCCTTTTTTAGAAGTTCCTTGATTATGTAATAACTAGAATAAAGTAGTAGAGGAAGATGTGTCTCTGTGACCAGAAAAAAATTGCTTTCAAAAGAATGTAGATCAATGATACTAGTTTTAACATAGCTGCAAGCAAATAGCCTTGACACACTACAAGCCCAAAAAGCTTCAGGAGCACTTAAAAATTGCAGAGAGAAGCAACATACCTTGAAGAGATGTTTTTGATGAAGAAAAGCCTTCATTTTCACAGGGAAAAGAAGCACTTGATACCAAGGACATTAATAGATGCTAGAAAGACTGCCTATGGGAAATATATATGTGACATCAGACAAAAGAAAGAGATCCTGGGGCCCATTCATGTGACTTTCAATAAAATATGCAGACTGTCCAGTATTGATGGTGTCCATCTGCAGTTTTTTTTTAATTTTATGTAAATTCAAGTTAACGTATAGTGTATTATAAGTTTCAGAGGTAGAATTTAGTGATTTATCAGTTGCATATATCTAGTGGCAATTTTTTCATGGAAACAATCTTTGAGCATATTGGACATGATGATGCAGCCACCATGCACTGCTCATGTCATCTTTTGCAATTCTAAGGAAACCCAGGCACAGAATCTTTTTATAACCAGGATTCTCAATCTACAGTCTACTTTGCATCAAACCCTTGTCATTCCCTCAGGCCTCACAACATCACTGCATGATGGGTAATAGCCCCATTTTACAGATAAGGAAAGTTGAGGTTCAGGGAGATGAGAAATGACTTTGCTCAAGATCACACAGCTAAGGATTGATAAAAATTCAGGACTGGAAGCTACAGAGGCCTTACTGTTTCTAATACATCACACTACCCCCTTAGTAGTAAAGGAATCCTGATGGTAAATAGAGAAGATGTTTAGAAATGCAACTGATGGAAACAACATCTACAAGTCTTGCTACTCCAAATGTGGTCCATCATCCCCCTCAGCAGCATCATTACCTGGGAGCTTGTTAGAAGCAGATTCTTGAGCAGCATCACAGACATTTGTAATCAAAACCTTTATTTTAATAAGATCTCTATTTCTATGCACATTAAAGTTTGAGAAGCACTGATATAAGGCATTTGAAACAAAAAAGCAGGTTGAGGAAGGAGAACTTTGAGTGAGCCAAAGACCAAAAATGGTTGATAAGGCCAATCTGGTTATGTTGGGAGTGTTTAGAAAGATTGTGTCCATAGCTGACTACTTCTTAGAGTGCTTTGTACATGGCCTCATTCTTAGATGACATGTAAATGAAGTTTCTTCACTTCAAAGAATAGTGAAACCAGCCTAGGGAAAAAGACTGAAAATCACTTGATTTTCCAATCTCTGACCACTAAAGGCAGTGGAAAGGCAACATGCAGCAGTGGAAGGAACTCCTTTCAGAAGCCCTGGGGGTTCCATATTTGCCTCTGTCACTGATTCTCTTTAATGCTCAGCAAATACCTTCCTCTCTGTAGGTCTCAAATTGTCTTTTTTTTTATTTAAATTCAATTAGCCAACATATAGTACCTCATTAGTTTTTGATGTAGAGTTTAATGAATCATTAGTTGCATATAACACCCAGTGCTCATCACATCACGTGCCCTCCTTAATGCCCATCACCCAGTTACCCCATCCCACCACCCACCTCCCTATCTGCAACCCTCAGTTTGTTTACCAGAGTCAAGAGTCTCTCATGGTCTGTCTCCCTCTCTGATTTCTTCCCATTCAGTTTTCCCTCCCTTCCCCTATGATCCTCTGCACTATTCCTTATATTCCACATGTGAGTGTCTTTAAACAGGATAGTCTTAAAGTGCCTTTTAAGTTTTGATGTTCTGTTATTCTCAACTGTGGGTTTTGCTACAGATTACATTTAATTAAAACATGGACAAATCTATAGGCTTTTGTCTGGCCCTAGTTTAACATCCTCAGTTCACATAAGAAGGGGTATTCTGGGAGGAAATCTCACAGTCACAAAAAAGCAACATTAATGGGAATTGCAAGGAACTGGGAGGGGCATGACTCTAGTTAACCAGCTTGAAATTGGCTAGGAAAAATTTAAATTAGAAAACTGAAATTTGAGGGGCGCCTGGGT